TGATCAAGTGCCCAAGATTGTGACCACATCGGTCGGTCTGGGGAAAAAACTGACATTGCTGTCCCAAGAACTTGATGAACTGCCGTAAGGAGCGTGACATTACTAAACAAACCATATGTGTTAACAAATGGCGAAGTAGTCCTATAAACCACATCTCTATTGCTGACAAACCACAATAAATACTAAACCTGTCGGACTTTATTAAGTTTGTAAACAATGGCAAAGCGTTTGATAGGACCACAACACCGTTTCTTAACATTTTCTTCAATCAATTGTACAACGCCAGCGTTCAATTCTCCGTTATACTCGTCTGTGTCAGTAACGGCATGGTCTCGTTGTAGATATCTCGGTTATACTCGTCTGTGTCAGTAACGGTTTGTTCTCGCTGTAGATATCTCGGTTATACTCGTCTGTGTCAGTAACGATTTGTTCTCGTTGTAGATATCTCGGTTATACTCGTCTGTGTCAGTAACGGTATGGTCTCGTTGTAGATATCTCGGTTATACTCGTCTGTGTCAGTAACGGTTTGTTCTCGTTGTAGATATCTCGGTTATACTCGTCTGTGTCATTAACGGTATGGTCTCGTTGTAGATATCCCGGTTATACTCGTCTGTGTCAGTAACGGTATGGTATCGTTGTAGATATCCCGGTTATACTCGTCTGTGTCAGTAACGGTATGGTATCGTTGTAGATATACTCAATACATTAAGATGTAGCCCAATACTGCATCAAGTCGAAATCTCATGCACAAAATCATGCATACAATATTTGACGTTCTCGGACAAAGCATGTGTTTGAGGATATTTACTCAAACATGACAGTACGTAAAAGAAAACGAGCACAAAATGGGTAAAGTATTTTGCGTTTCTGTCACTTACAGTAAAACTAAAGTGTGACACACCTTGGATGTCCTTAAACTGCAAAACGACAGTGATCATACTGGAAACAAATGGTTCAAGTAGGTCACCCTGTCTACATCCCCCTTTTTACCACTACATTGATCAATTTAATGCATTAGAATTTAGATTTGTCCTCTCTTTTGAAATTTTGCGTTCAGAGAGATAATAAATTAGTTCAATTTTTAGTACAATGTAAACAACGCGCTCTAACATTTAAACATGCTGAATAACTATATCGGTTTTAGGTGTGATACTAGGTAATTCCTCAGCCATGTTGATACATTTTTGTAATAATTTGCATCAAAACAACACAAATGTTTATTTTGATAACATAATAATGACAACATAATAAGGGTTGATTTGGCTATCTGGTTCATGTTATTCAAATGAAAATGAATAAATTTATATTCAACCTCACAAAGTTTACACGCGCCTACAGGATGCATTAGATTTTAAAGAAAAATACAGTATTTGAAATTTCGCTTCTTGCTTAACTCCTTATATGCCACCTATGCGACAGCATTAACTAACTTTGAAGACATGCAAATCCTTATGAGATTTCTACTTTTGGAAATTATTCCAACTGGGATGGACAATAGCTTCATACGGACAGTTTATTGTTTACCAAAAATAAAATAAATACTGCTTACATCGAACATTCTACAACAACTTAAGATACGAACTACTCCTTTTCCTACACAATTACCGGTCATAAAGGCCGGCTATGGCTCTCTAGTTCCTACCTAGGAGTATACAGTAAGCTGGGGACTACTTGTGTTTCCCTGTTTTCAGATAATGCAGTGTTGATATGAAGTGTTTACTACGTATTTGCTTTTATATTATTGTGTCTAGGTTCTATGTGGTAAACACTACTGGTGGATCTTTTTTATTTTCGAGGTTTGCCATACACTTGATGGCCAAGGTGTCTCTTTTGCGTAGTGCCATGATTCATGATGCTGACTATACAAATTATCTCATTTTAAATAGCCACTACGCCTTTAAGGTTTGAAATTGATTAAAAAGGGGTTTACGCAACTTTACTTTTTAACAATACTTTAGACCAATTTGGATTTCAAACGCGTTGGCCCCTAGCATTACCGATGAGTCGTAAAAGGACGAAACAGCTATATGGTGCAGTGCGTTTTATTTTTGTCATACTGTATCCATCTTTGAACTTTAGAGGTGCAATCAGCAGTTTGTGTGTGTGAGCCGTTCATCTTTCTACCTAATACAGCAGTTTCAGGAAAGTATCGCATCACTTAAAATATCTCACAAGAACAAAGAACACCATGAATATCTACCCCGAGACCAAGGATCCAAACAAAATAAAGTCTGCACCAAGAATAAAGGACAGAGACGAACCAAAACAAACAAAAAACAAATATGTACCCTCAAAGCATCGGACCAAACGTTTTAAGAGTTTCCCCCAAAACCAGGGATAAAGCAAACCGATAATTAGCACGAGGCCTAGAGACAAATTAAGTGATCTGTACCTCGAGATCCAGGGACGAATAAACACAAGGACCACATCTGCAGCTCTTTGGAAAGAGTGGCATATATAACGAAACATCCGTGTTTACAATATGCGTGTCTGCTGTGACGTCATTGAGTACACCTAAACACTGGCAATGCAAGAAAGACCAAAACACACATTGAAATAAGTGTATAACGGAGCAAAAAATGTGTGCCGTAGAAATAAAATCGTAAGGAACTTTGGTGTTGTGTAGATATTTATTCTACCTCAAACCTTGATGACAGTATCTCGTTAAAGTAACAGATGACGTCACATGCTGAGAAATATGTTTGCGTTCACCGTGTAACCGATCTGATAAACGACACATCTTATCTGTCACGTGATAGTTTGAATGATGACGTTTAATACAGAAATCCGGAGGCACATACCACTAGCGCTAACAACCAGCCATGTTCAGGAAACTAATGCCTTGTCTAAGTTTCGAAAATACCAATTCTTCAGTGACATGTACTTTAAAGAAATCATCAATGTTAAAACATATCCAGAACAATGTTTATATGTTCTAGAAATAAACATGTCTTTGGAAACACGATGATTCTAACTTAGTATCTAGTCATTTTGATTGATTTCTAACACTTCTGGTAATGTATCTCTTTTGTAAGCAGCGCCCTCTATCACACAGAGGAAATGATCAAGGACGGTAATCCATCAGCCAGGAACGGTAATTGTCACATGTATAATCCATGGATACATGCCTAGTACCAGCTGAGATCGTACATAGGGCGATACAAACTCCGTGTTATCGTTAATAGGTCTAAAGCCATGACGGTATCATGTTCTGTCACACGCTACTACAAACGATAAGTCAAAAGGGTGTACCCAACAAACCATGGCTAATCATTTCCCTAATTGCCGTGCCATGCCGTTCCCGTGCATTCACAGTGTGCGCGTATGTTACATTACAATGTACCAGTAACGTAGAGTAGAAGAGCTCGTACACAAGTTCTGTTATCAAATATTACTGCATGAATGCCATATTCCTTGAATTCTGAAAATAAATGTCAGCGAAAATAATGAAATTGAAAAATACTGCTATATTAAAGGGCGGAGAACCTTTACGGTTGTGCAGTTATCGTTTACGACTTATCTTTCAGGTTACAGACCAGGATTGTGATCCAGCCGAAACCTCATCCCTCAAACGTCGTGTCCACCATCCGGTCTCACGGCAATACAGGAAGGCAATTTACGAGAGAGCAAAATACACAATGGACAGGTGCAACTCAGCGATAAAGAGGAGAGGGAGGGGGTAGAACGGGGGATGGGTGAAGGTGAGGACGAGGCCCTGGGGCTACAGAGGAGGTAGAACAAAGTATGAGTAGGAGTAGAGAGGGTAGGTACGAAATGAACTATCACTGTCATTAAAACAACTTTTTTTGCACATCCCTACACTTTCATCTCTCTTTCTTACACTCCCATTTTATCTTTAAATGTCGTTTCTCCTTTTTACGTTCTTCTTCCCCCGTTCTAGTACTTGCCCTCCTCGCTCCCAACTTTCCGTTTATTTCTCTTCCTGTAACTTATTTTCTCCTTCCTACTCGCTCGTTTCTCCTTACTTGGTTTTCATCTCTCTTTCCTATACTTTTATTTCTCCTACCTACGGTGTATCAGGGATCTTAGGTTTAGTGAGCTGCCAGTAACGTAATATGCAACAGTTGCATGAACTATGAAACTAATAAAGTCATACGGAAGAGACACACCCACAATTCCCGACCTCCTGCAACATGGCCGTATACCATGGTGGCGCGTTTGATCTTAGAATCAATACATTTAATGCTTCCAAAATAACGGCGGAAAAACAAGGTTTTAGTGAGAAATACAATGGCATATATTAGATGAAAGTTAGACATACACATGTAGTTATAAAGGGTTTGATCGTAAATTGTGGACCCAATATCTTTTTTTTTTATATTGTCCCGAAGGTATATTAGTGTCACGTCAAATATAATTAGTTTAGTTACAGCACATCAACCTGTAATAAAACCCCGATTATCAGGAGGATTGTGTTCATACTGGGAACACTTATATCAGGAAAAAGACCTTCGAAACAGACGAACACTAAACCAGGATTGAATCAAATGAAAAACATAGAAAAATGTGATCGGGACTGAAATGTATTCGAATGCGCTGGAAGCACCAAAAACAGGATTGCAATACATTGAGATGAAATGCGCCAAAAAACACTAAAAATTGTTTCATGATGCGTTTAGATACATTGAAAACATTAAAAACAGGATTTTGATATAGTCATATTCACTGGAAACACTTAAATTATAATTAGATAGAAATACATTGAAACACTTAGAACAGTACACTAGCCTTCATTTTCACATCAAATATTTATGTACATTGTTATAAAGATTGTTTACGGTTAGATGACAAGAAATCATCCTCACAACTTTATATTACCGTAGGTCTACACCGCAGACTTTTGTTTATTTTGTCTTTTTCTTATTCTATTTAGATTTTACTTCTTCGAAAAAGGCCAGGGTAATACCAGGACCACCCAGAAGGTAAACATCTGAAACATGATCCTGCCATTTGCATTTTTCTGTTCAAATTTCTTTCATTTTCAACAAAGGTACTTGCGCTTTACATGTGCACTAAATGCGCTTGTTGTTACAGGAGTTTTATATTTCTACTGACATTGACCATTCATAAAGACTTGTAGCCTCTACATCAATTTTGAAACCAGTGGCGTGGGTACTTAAAAGTAGGAATGTTTGGTTGAATGCCTGCATGGATGTTGCGAAATACAAATGTACTACATGTATAAAGATTGAGATAATTGACCGACATTCGAAGCTAAACTGTTCCCGAAATTGTCCATTTATACATGTGTGATTTGCAAGTACACAGTAGCGATGATAACTTAATGACGAACGGTAAAAAGGTTCACTTCATAAAATCAAATGTCACCTCGCCAACGAAACTTATTCTGTTGAAAGAAACGTCTGTATTGCACAGTTCATACTCAAAATACACGCCACTCAGCATTGTCTAAAGACGATTTCTGAGATATCCACGATGTACGAATTCCACAATGAAATTTCTTTTGATACCTGACATGTTCGGCTTTAAATGTGTTTCGGAGCAGTAGCAGATCTAAAGACGTGTTCTTGGCGTCAGTGAACGAACCTGTAGCCTCCTCTTTTAGCGATTTCTGGTGAAACCTTCCATTTTTGTCTCTGGATACGACATAACTGTCTTGTTTTTTCGTTGATGCCTTGAGACGTTGCATGTCCGTCTTATCTTGGGTCGATTTCGACCGACTATCACAATTTTACTCGCCAGGTGGACCGTATCACCTCTCCTGGTGACATGGGTTCGTCATAGGTGTTTACGTTGTGTTTTGGTGTCTCCTACGTTTCCTGTTGTTGACTTTTGATTGATTGCAAGTTCCTAGTTTTCTTTGTGTGTTCAAGACCCGATATATATTATTCGGTTTTATTTGAGTAGTAACTTTACATGAAAGTGCATGAACTGCCGTATCAGGCTTGATACGTGGTGGTCTGGAAAGCTATGACAATATACCATTATATATTTACATTTGCATGGCATTGTCACTATATAGCCTCTTTAGAAGCTGTGTCGTTGATTGGAACTTTAATTACCATGCAGGACGAGACATAATTCTTAGCGTATTAATACTGACTGGAACTACAATATCCAATGTAAATTAACATGACGGCTGCTGAAATATCACTAGGCATTGTGAGATTTGACAATGTCATTGTAAATTTATGTGCAAAATAAAATAAAAAATACTTTTATTACAACAAAAACAAGACCAAGGTCTGCAATATCGTACAAAATGCACATCGGTTGAAATCATCAATGCCGGCAATGTGAACAATTTTAACGCTCATGCAATTTATCAAAAATATCGTCTGTTACACTGCACTGATCAACAGGGGTTCGTTACAAATGTCTGAAATACACATATTTTATAGACCTACTAACACATATGTTACAGACCTACTGATATGAGTCACAGCACACATAAACATTTCAGACATTTGAAATGAACTCCTGTGCTCCGTCGCAAGTTCACTCACTCCTACGCGTCTCGCAGACACTGTTTCCTCAGTTTCTGACGACATGTCAAATAACGATGCTGTTATAGAATCTACAGACTGCAGTCAGATTCCCATACAATCAACAAATAAATTCACGTCTAGACTCCTCACAAAATGAGCAAAGAGAAAAGTTTGAATTAACTTCCAAAAATAACTCCCTCGTGGAGGGCAAGGTCGGATTTACAGTGTTCACTGTATTTATCCATGCGCTAAATTTGTTCCGGAGAAAAATCGAAACAATTTCAAATCTAACTTTAAGCGCAGAGGTCTATTGATAAACTTAAATCACCCTATGGACATATCATACGCAATTGTATCTATACTGAATTGTGGAATAACATTGAAGTGTTTGTTAAAATTTTAAAGTACTACTTTGTTTGCCAATCAGCACGCGACAAACACGCTGTTCAAATTATTGAACGAAATTTTGTGTACTGTTGATGAGGCGGGTATTTTGAATTTTAAATATAAATTACAAGTTAAAAAAGAACATAAGAGGCAGAGAAAACGTAAATATATGTATTGAACTGTTTTTGTATGGTATTTATGATCTATTTGAATAATGCTTGCGCGCATTATGCTGTTTGCTTGCAAAGCTGTGTCATTCAAATAGATCTTAAATACCATACAAAAACAGTTCGATGCTTAAATGAACGACATGACATTTCACCTTTGTTGGGGGACAAACAGTTTTCACCTTAACAACGCGTTAACTCTAATAACATAATTAACCAATCATAAATCTTCCTCTCTCTCCCTTCTCTGGAACAAACTTCGACCACCAACCCCGCAACTGAAAAAGTGTACATTGAAGTGTTGTACATTTCGCCTTCCGAACACTTATAAATGGTGGTGTCACGCTGTGAAATATATGTCCCTCATCAATTTACCGCCGCAACATCTTTTCTAAGAAAGCTTTTCTACGTAGGTGGTACATATCCTAACACGTATTGTTTAAACTGAACTGAAATACAATAGTTTAAAGTGCAAATTGAAATATGTACTCAAACACAATGCTGCTGATGAAGCGACAATACAAACATCAATTTTCTTAAAACAGTAAACGACACGAGATACTGATTTACGTTAGTGTCTTTTTATGAAAATATTTTTTTCTGGTTCGCACGTCAAATAGCAGAATAGCAAATATGGTGATACGTCTGTCCGTTTTCTGCACATACTAGTAAAACAAAACCGCTTTGGCGTGCGCTGTACGCAATCGATCCTTAAATAGGTTAGGATTTTAGAACGATGATAAAGATATCTATAATTCGAAGTCATTGAAACACTGTCGGGGTTTTGCAGGAACATTATAATTGACTTTTCTTTGCTGAGGCTAAGGCAGGGGATAATCAGCCGAAAGAGTGACGCTTTTATCATAATAACAACGTAACACATCACCGCTTCATACCCTGCTGCTCGATTTAATCACATTCGTTTTACATTTACAAAATATTTTTAAAATAGATCAAAATCTAGAATTGCTCCATGAAAGTTATTAAAGAAGGCATACTTAGACGATATGGCGCCTTTACAGTCATTTTGTTTACACCAAAAGCAGTTTTAAGATTAAATCTGGTCAGTAACAGGATTTTATTTCATAATAAAACAGTCTGCCGTTATGACATCATGTCTGTCGTTATCCGTATTGTACTTGGTGTCTTATTGGGCATTTGTGCTGTAATCTCGCAGGAATATCGGAAGACTGCGAGACTGTCGTATCGAGATGTAACAGAATTATTAGCGTTTGATGTGGTTCATGCCTATTTTACGAACCTGTTAAAAATCGTTATCACCAAGTACAAACAAATGAATATCGATGTACAGAATAGTACCGAAATAAAAATACAGATCTTGGCAGGATACTGACCGTGAAAAATCTGTGTCAACCCATGTTTTATCAAACATCAACGAATTTAAAGAAATGAATAAAGAAAAATTGTAAGCATTACTATTGGAATATCACACACAACTGTTCTATATTTCTTCAGTAATTAATGTTTAAATCCGCACTCGCGATTACAAAGTCCAAGTACAGGTAAATATTCCCCGACACACGTGTAACGTCCCCTATACACAGTCTGTGTTACACGTATTATTAACCGATATATAGGAAAGCGTGTCTGAGTTGGATAATATTGATCACAAAGTAGGTATATTATTTATCGTATTCCCCTCACGTACTCGAGTATCCCCTTTCATATTTCCCGTATTTGGAGCCGCTCTATACCAATGGACAACTTACGCGTCAATCTGATCATATTCACTGTTGTGTAATCACTCTATTTTGGTACAATATATAATGAAATGATACGTGATAACCTTGCCGTTGGGAAACACTGCAGTGCTTGCTATATTACTGTGAAATACAAGACATGAGTACCAATACGACCCGGATGATGGTGATATGATCTTAATTTCACTGTGAATACTAAACTTTGTGAAAAAGGGTCATAATAAAATCGACTTCAAATAAAAGTAACTTTAAAACAAGAACATTTTTTTTTTATATAATATTTCTAAGGTTCTAAATGTTCAGCTTCATAATCAAGGTACAGCAGTATTCATAGATAACTTCAAATTGATTCAAGATTAGCACATTCTCCATCAATCATCCTTCCTCATTTTTAATACTTTAACATTAAAGTATTCAAACAACACTAGTTTTGAACATCATTCTTTTGCTTATTATCAACTTTTTATCTGACAATGAATACCGTAGAAAAAGCTTTAAGTCTTCGTTGATATGCAAAGGAATTTGTCCTTCTTTATTTATCATTTTGGCAAAATACCCTAATTCGAATGGGGAAGTCTGATATGGCCCCTCGCTAAACTCTTGCATGTCTGTGTCTATTCTAGAAGATGGAAGGTTTAGCTGGGAAATGTAATCATTCGCTGTCCTGCGGTTTTCCCATTAATCACGTTATTTCGGTAGTGTGCATATGAAAGCAAATGAAATATCAGTTATTATGTTCCCGGCCTGAGATAAATCAAACAACGTGGACTGAGCAGCCGCCATTTCCCTCGGGGGACCACGACTAATTCGCCGATAGTTGTCCTGTTCGAACGCGCCGGACGGGCCTTTGATCGATATCTGTCTTATACGAACGCGCCGGACAGGACTAGGTCCGCCATGATGAAAACGAAATCGTCCAAGCATCATCCATCAAAGTTGATCAGGACCAAATTGGAAGAAGGAAAAATTGCTCTTCTTTATTTTTGGCCACCAGATAGAAAAACAATTGAGAAGTGTCTAGATTGGTTTGGCGGCGGCTTGGGTATGGCAATTTAAAATGAATTAGTGCATGACAGAACTTCTGATATGGAATACAGCATGAATATTTTACAAATAACTGGCTACAGTTTCGAATTCATATATACTAAAATTACAAAGTAGACAAAGACTGCAAAGACACTGTAAATTGCCTTTGAGGTTTAAGTAGAGCCTGGGTGTGACTTTGTGTGCGGTCATATTTTCTCCAAGATGATCAATAACAGATTAGGAGCAGGATGGTTGTCGGGTGTTTATAACATCGTATCATTATTTAACAATTGTAATAACGTATGTTGTCATAACTGTCGTTAAACTGGGAGATATGGAGATATTTTACACGGGCATTATGAAGCTCCAAATTTAAAGCGCTACCCAGTCACGTATACGCATCAAAACATCCTGCTTTAGTCATGAACTGTTTACATTTTGTCGTCACTGTTTTTGATTATAATATTTTTTCTTATCATAATTTGTAACCGCTTCTTGTACTGAACCCGCGCGTCTGTTGAATCTGCTGAACTGACTATTCATCACAAATTGTATTATTCACTATTTACATGTATTTGGTAGTCGTTTCACTGTATTGTGAGAAGACCACAAAGTAAACATGTACCACAACTATGTACAATGTACATTGTTACACCCTCTGTGTATGGAATTACATGTCCGTACCCCTGAGTCTGTTAAAGTGGCATTAATTTATGGTTTTTGGTCCCATTGGGCAATAAACTAATTTTGTAGTAATCGGCTAGTGTTTTCCTTTTCTCATTAATTATTTACCATACATATTTACCATGGGCTTACCCCAAAGACACAGTCGATGAATCAAACATCAACATTATACAGCAATTTATGAATATATTGTTACGTAATGTGGTTGTCTTTATTTTGTGAAGGACCAGGCACATCTTCGAAATCTACAAGAAAATACCTGATCAATTCATATGGCGATTATTAAGCCTCACTGAATTCGTTTTGTTTGCCTTAACAGCTGTATTTTTTTGCATTTCCAGGTTTCCCTTCTGAGGCTGCTATATCAGGGCCGTTTTCGTTTAAACGGCCAAACCGGTCGGACCACAGTTGTTCGTTTATCAAATAAGGTCGGACCTAGTAATCTGATGCTGCTTTCAGGCGAGCCTTGACCCTTGCAAGGCCTGCGTACACATTTGAAGGTCCGCCAGGATTTATACCCGAAATTGTAACATTTATAAACGATCAAACCGGTTGTTTCGCATAAACGAACAGGCCCAAGGTGTACATATGATACACGGTTGTGACAGTTGTTTTACATGTACTGACGTCAGTACCAATCTTGATATTTCAGTGTTCACCAGGATTAAATGGTTGTAAATGAGTTATTTTGGTCGTTGATGATCTACATCGAGCTGACGTAATTCAAACCTACAAAATACTAAACAACATGGACATTCTTGAGAAGGGCAAAATATTCCACGAAGCTGAAGACAACCGAACCAGGGGGCACTCCAGGAAACTATTCAAAAGACCATGCAGACTAAACAAATATGGTTACTTCTACAGCAACAGAGTGATAAATATGTGGAACTCTCTAACAGAGGAGGTAGTAATATCTCCAACGCTCAACACCTTCAAGTCACGGCTCAACAGCCACTGGAAACATCATCCGACAAAATTCAAGCCATTTCTTTATTAGTTACATATATATATATATGCAAGTCTAATCAGTCAAAAGTGACAATGTAACAAATTGACTGTTTGGCACTGACCATGATTTTTAAAATCATATGTTTTTAACCACCAAATTGTAAAAGGAGAGGATTTAACAGTGGGAGCTGAATCCTCCAACCCTACCAGATAAAGAAATGAACCTGTAACTGTAAATAGCTATATAGCAACCACAAGCTACTAGTTAGCTTACAACGATGTCATCTGACCGAAACTGAGCGAAACATAATGTTCTTGGCCTGACGAAAGACCGTTTAAGGGTACATGTACGTGTCCCTGGTAAAGTTTGTTTTACAGACATAGGTCTGATTTTGTCCCTTTGTTCTGACGCTCTGGTTGACCTTTTTCTTTCATATGTTTCATTACTTTCGTACTGTGTTATATGTGTTGTCGGTGTCTTTAAATGCAAATAAGGATAGGTCCCCTATTACTATCGTGTATCGGTTTGATTGCGCCCTTGCATTATATGTTCAGCAATTAAATTGTGGAATATATCTCTATTTATTCGTCCTGCAGGATTTAGCATTTTAATAAAATCTAACCCTTATACGTCTGTCCTTGGCCCTTTTTTTGTATTTTAACTCCTTGCTCTAGAACGACTATTGCTAATTGGCACTAAATCGATTTATTCTGCAAATTAACTATACACAAACAGTCTATTAACACAAAAGGACTGGTATTTAAATTGTTTTCCTATTAAGTCGACTGAAGCTTTTTTTAACCAGTATTTTTGTCGCCTTGGAAAGATGTTGTCTTAATCAATAGGAGAAAGCAACGCAGTATGCAAATAAGCTGCCTCAATTACGACCAAATTGCAAATTAAATTTGTCAGAAAGGGAAGCGGGATTCCTGTGATCTGCATTCGCGTTGACATTTATCCACCACTGGACGTTTATGATCAAAAGATGATAACATCAGGACCGAAAGTATGAACAAACGTTGATTATACCCAAAACAATCATCCGCTAATTCAATTGGTTAGCTTTATAAAGACCAGGCAATTAAGAGCTGGTTGTCATTAAGTAGGATAGACACAACATCCGGGTGTGGGGACCCTTGTCGCTTCGATGTCTTAGCGATCGTCAGGTAATGATCGGTGAAATTGAATCTATCGGTTTTGCTGGCAGAAACAAGACGGGACACCAATCACAATCCCTGCACCACAGCCCTGGAGTATGTCAGGGTCGACACTTTTATATGAAATCCATTGTATAACGTTCGCCTACACATCAAACGCGGCCGAAATTACTGTAAGGACGACCTTTGGTTACAGGTTTAAATTTGATATTTACCTAGTATAATCATTTTCTACGATATTATAAGATGGAAGGCGATAAGATGATATTTTACAGTGCCTCAGAATGTTGTTAAAGGCAAAGAACAATATACAGATGCGGTGTGTCATGTCTAATTTTTAGTATATAAATATAAACAAAAACCAATGTCCTTTCTATAAACGCATAAAGTCGGACAAGAACTAATCATATACGAACAGCACTGAGTGTGGTATATTATAGCTCTGAGTGTTGTATATTATAACTCTGAGTGTCGTATATTATAGCTCTGATTGTGGTATATTATAGCTCTGAGTGTGGTATATTATAGCTCTGAGTGTGGTAGGTTATAGTTGAATGATGGTATATTATAGCTCTGTGTGGTATATTATAGCTCTGAGTGGTATATTATAGCTCTGAGTAGTATATTATAGCTCTGAGTGTGGTATTTTATAGCTCTGATTGTGGTATATTATAGTTCTGAGTGGTATATTATAGCTCTGAGTGTGGTATATTATAGCTCTGATTGTGGTAGGTTATAGCTCTGATTTTGGTATATCATAGCTCTGAGTGTGGTATATTATAGCTCTGAATGTGGTATATTATAGCTCTGATTGTGGTATATTATAGCTCTGAGTGTGGTATATTATAGCTCTGAGTGTGGAATATTATAGCTCTGAGTGGTATATTATAGCTCTGATTGTGGCATATTATAGCTCTGATTGTGGTAGGTTATAGCTCTGATTTTGTTATATCGTAGCTCTGAGTGTGGTATATTATAGCTCTGAGTGGGGTATATTATAGCTCTGATTGGGGTAGGTTATAGTTGAATGATGGTATATTATAGCTCTGTGTGGTATATTATAGCTCTGAGTGGCATATTATAGCTCTGAGTGTGGTATATTATAGATCTGATTGTGGTAGGTTATAGCTCTGATTTTGTTATATCGTAGCTCTGAGTGTGGTATATTATAGCTCTGAGTGGTATATCATAGCTCTGAGTGTGGTATTTTATACCTCTGAGTGTGGTAGATTATAGCTCTGAGTGGTATATTATAGCTCTGAGTGTGGTATATTATAGCTCTGATTGTGGTATATTATAGCTCTGATTATGGTAGGTTATAGTTGAATGATGGTATATTATAGCTCTGTGTGGTATATTATAGCTCTGAGTGGTATATTATAGCTCTGAGTGGTATATTATAGCTCTGAGTGTGGTATTTTATAGCTCTGAGTGTGGTAGATTATAGCTCTCAGTGTGGTATATTATACATATGAGTGTCGTATATGATAGTTAGCTCGGAGTGTCGTATATTATAGCGCTGAGTGGTGTTTAATAGCTGCTGTGAACTTTAGTAGTGTAATTTATCAATCTGATGTGTATGTTACTTGTTCATCATAAAATGTTTATCGATATTATGTTTTGAAAAAAAAGTTATATACGAACAGGAACAGACGAAACACACAAAAAAGGAACACAACAAAAACCTAATATGCATACACGCATGTTGATTCTTGCCAATTAGAAACCAATCATATGAAGCAGATTTGGATTAAAACCTGCAAAAATGTTCTTCTCTTTATCTCAATCCTAATGTTCCTTTTGTAAACTACTTTTCTAATTTGATCTCCTCCCATTGAAATGCCTAGAATCTCCATGGTTTTACGTTCAATCACCCTTTCTTATAACAGCGATAAGACATTGGCTGCTAGGCACCTATTAATGCTAGCCCGTTGTCAATGGCTTAAGAGTCATGCCGCATTCTCCTGAAGTTTCGGCCGATTTACTTTGAACAAGGACGTCATGTTGCTGCACCGGCGAAATGTTCAGGTATCAAAAAACCAAAGTCAAACAGATATTTTAGCAACAATTCACTTTTAGGACATTATAGATCGTCATGATTAGTTTTACAGTTTAAAAAGATGTTCCCAACTTTCAGTAAATGCCAACAGTGGATGACACTTAGCACAAAGACATACCAAATAACTGTCGTAAATATGATATTGTGCATAACAACTGTGACTGTCACGCTATTTATGTAAACACGACATTTTAAATAAGTATTGACTGTACACGACGTTAAATATCAAAGTATTGGCTGTAAACGACGATCAATCTCAAGAAATTAAAACAAAAGCCATGTATCCACGCAAAGAAACTGCATGGTCGCGGTAATGCTTATAATAAATGGGATCATAATATGGATATCATAATATAACGATATTATCTCATCTTAATTCGATGTTTCAATTTTATGTAGGCATTCAATGTTAATTTTTCTTAAAAACAAACTTGAATTTACCGAAGGTCCATCGAAATCCATCTACCACTATGCATGAAATGTAAGATAAACAACTACAATTTTAAGGCTACCATCTTTTGGATGCGTTCATGATAAATCATAACTAATAATTGATTTGATTAAATCAGTTCATTAATTGTTCCATTTTTTTACTGTATTTATTTAATTATGTTTTGATGCAGAAAGGAAGGTGATTGTTGATGAGAGCGGAAACTATTATATTTTCTTGTCCAACATGAGAGCATCTTGTCACGTTGCTTAGCGTAGCGGTGTTTTAAAGTACTCGACGCTGTTACACTAAGTTTAATACGACCATACCTGAAACACCAGAACAGAACTTAATATCTCATTTGACCTTTTTAATGTAGTTTTTATTTCAGAGGAGACGTAAACAACACCTGACACTAAATCGTAAAACACAACCTTTGAAATGACAGTCGCGTTGCAAATGTCTAAATTTTCCGGTAGTTTATAAATTACTGCGCTAACTAATTTCACGAAAGAAGCGGCTTGGGTATTGCACGTGTCTTTGAAGCTCTACACGTGCTAAAAAAACGTGCATGCTTATATTTAGCACCTTGCCTAGCTGTTGTTATAGACAGGGAATCTAGTGAAAAGTACAGTAAAGACCTACCGTTGGTGATTTGATACATTGGACTGGGCAGATGGTCCACACGTAGCTGCGGGTCTACGTTGATTTATGTACACCTCGACGAGTTTTGATCAGTGCCGTTTCGGGAAGAAATCATATATATGACAGGTATCAAATGAGTTTTATGCTGTATAAATGGGGAACTAGAATACATAATTATACATATACATCAATTTGCTTAAATAAAAATAGTGCATTATAAATGTATTCTGTCTATCTGTAAGGAGCAATTGACTGCGGTAAACCACGTGACACTTTTAGTTGTTAGATAAAGAACGAAAGAGCACAAAGCATCAAATAATTGTATTATGTCTTCTGAGAATATCGAACCCTAAACATTTACTACTAGTACAAATGTAAACCGATGTCCTAATCATACGTACGCATCATGGCCATATATTTACTGCTTAGAACCGGTGCATACTTTACATGTTAAATGGCATCAACATCAGATAGCAAATGACATACATAATGACTTGAGATAAATGTACAAGTACATACGAGATAACGAGGCAGACATATACACATATAGACATACGCTCAGGAGATATTGACATATACACAGGAATGTAGACATATACACGGGGTATATTGTCATATGCACTGGGAATATAGGCACACACACGTGAGATATTAACATATACACGTGGAATATAGCCATAAGCATAGGAGATATTGACACATACACAGGGATAATACACATTCACACAGGAAATATTGAGATATAAACAGGGAGCATAGACATACATACAGGACAGGAGATATTGACGTATACCCAGGGAATAAACACATATACACAAGAAGTATTGGCATAAATACAGGAGATAATGACATACACACATGAGACTTGACAATTATCCATGGAACATAG